GAAGTTGTGGCAGTGTGTTCTTTGTCCAAACAACAGGCCTGCTTTTGTAACCGCATGAAGTACGCGGCTCTGGATGAGCATTCGTAGCCGCCCACGGGCTCTTGATTCACTTCACCACATGTGCCTTGCAATGTTTTATTCACTTTCAGTGTCTGCCCCTATCTGTCTTTGTAAATGGACTTTGTGCCCCCTCCTTTGAAGTATATACGTGCTACAAGGACTTTCGTGGTCAAATTGAGTAGCTCCCATGTGAACAGAGATTTAGGCCTTTCCCTTCTTCTGCCTCAAGTGTCAAACCAATGTCTACCACCGTTTAATGGAGTATTGGTAAACATGTAGACTAAATTGGAGACTTTTATCAGTTCCGTGTAAGTGATCTTGTAAACGTGATACACAGGAATAACTCCATTTTTCTTTGAGAAAAGATTCCGAACTGGGTGAAGTTTTCTTTATTAGAAGAGATGGTTCATGCTATGGCAGGCTCTGCAAGTTCTTAATGATGAAGTTTCTGTGCCTATAGATGAAATGGTCAAGATTAAAACCTTTAATAGCCCTTTAAAAAGGCAGATATTGCTGTGTAAGACGTGACCAGTACATAATTCCAGAAAGAAGTTATTTTTCCTCCGTTCTGTTCTCATTTTAGCATAGTCTTAGGAGCTGAAATTTGTATGTTGTGTACTTAGCCAGTGTAGCAACTGTGCTGTTGGTGCCAGCGGCTTGAAACTGGTATTGTAGGTGCTAAGTGTCTCAGCCTCATGTCTGTACCCAGACAAACTTCAGTTGCCAATGCAGCTTTTCATGGCAAGGCAGGTCTGGAAATTGCTAAATTGGAGATTTATTCTTGAATGTGCCGAAGACATAATTCGAGCAAATTTGGTAGGATTTTCTTTAGTCCATAGAGCATATAGAGGTGAGGAAGTCGGGGAAGATACTTAAATGAGCAGGTTCAATTAAAAAACCCTGCAATGACCTGACAAAGAGGGGGAGAGTCAGGAAGCACAGGTAGGTCTCAACGTTTCATCTACAAGGCAGCTCCAAGGCAAATAAATATGTGCCCTTTGGCAGGGGAACAATGGCATATCCTAAAGTGTCCCAGCTGCATAACTAGAGGCGGACTTTGTCTGCTGGGGTTACTTTCTTGTGAAGCAGAGGCAGCCTCTGTGAATACACAAATTGGTTCTTTTCATGCAAAGAAACCACCCTGTGAGTTTGGAACAGGGTCCTCGGGAAGATACTGCTTTGTATTTTCTGGGAGCAAGGTAAAGTATATTGCTGCCTTCTGTCAGCTGCTTCTGTGTGACCAAAGGCAATGAATGAACTTCATTCTGCTGCGTTTCAGGATTTTATGCTAATATTTCATTTCTACCAGTACTTTTTTTCAGAAAAGAAAATTATCTTAATTACCATGAAGTAACTAATCCTCAAAGCTGTAATTATTGCTGACATAATGCTTCGTATTTACAAAACACGAACAATTCAGTTCACCTCTTCAGACTGTCATTTGAGTTGCTGTAAACAGTTTTGTGTAACTGTTGTTTAATCAAGAAATTGATTTCTTTAACATCAGTAGTAAAGTCTTTTGACTACAAAGATGTCATGCTTTCTTTCATATTCTATCAAATTCAGTGAAGTGTATTCCATCAGGGTATTTTGCATTTCAGTAATAACTTCAGTAGATTTTTTTTTTTACATGAAATGGTACAATTATGAAGACTTTTTTTTTCCATCAGGCAGTATTTGGTAGCACATGGAGCAAATATTCTGATGATTATTTGGTGTGGCATGGCTGCTTTTCTTTAAGTCTTCTAATAAATGGTGATTTGCTACCTCTTTGCCTGCTTGTGTAATCTTTATTTTTCATTTAGTTTTTTTGTCTTTCATACTTTCATTACCTTTCTTTGTCACCTGAAATCTTATCAGTGTTGATGTTGGTTTCCAGACTCTCCAAGTTAGCTAGCCACCAGCCTTGTTCTGGCATCCTCACTTCTAAAGTGCCAAAATTATACAGACTAAGGCCAGGTAAACTATAGAATGTATCTATAAGCATGATGCCAATGTTTTCTTTTTCTTTTGATATTTTGCAAATAAGGCTTTGCACATCTTTATTTCTAGTATTTTGGAGTACAGGAATATCACTCTTATGCTTCAGGATGAGCTCCCAAAATTACATTTGGGAAGCAGAAAGGATACTGCCCAGTACTGCCGTAGCATCATCGTAATATCATTGAATAAATTACTGAGTGATTTAGCTCGAGTAGTCCTGGATGGGTAAGCACATAATAATGTGACAGGGGCCTTCTGATTTTTCTCTTGAAGATCATAACTCATGGCAGTTTTGCTTACCGTGGGAAACTTTCTTGTAGTTGGAGGCTGGAATGGCCATAGCTGTTTGTGAAGGACAGGGAGTGCTTTTGTTACCTTCAGAGACCCATTACGGGATATGATTGCTTGTGGGAGTGTCTGGTTATGATCTGTTAGAAAACAGCCTATTAATAAAACAGAGGCTCTTGTAATAGAGCACTTCTTAATCTTCTTCCTATGTAGTTATTTATAGGCTGTGACATCTTAATTTGCCTCTCATGTGCATCAACTCCTGTTATTTTAAAAGATCAAGTAGCTTTCACACGCCTCTGAGAATCACTTCTGGAGGAAACAGTCTGTTTTCTAAGGAATCTTACAAAAAAGCTTCAAGTCATAAGCTTGTTGTAAAAAAATACGTGAAGGATTTTGCTGGTGCTTTTCTCAAGGGCAAAGGAGTTATGGAATGTCCTGTTATATAGATACTCATATATTAATCCTATATTTGTCCGATTCCAAGCAGATTTTTCTTGAATTCTCAAAGGATTTCCAGTTGCTGATAGTACTAATTTACCCTTAGTGAGTGTGCAGTGACCTACCTGGAGCAATATTAAATATTTTATTCTCCTTGTTTTTGTGGTCCTTTTCTTTATTAGAGTGGTCCCAGTGCCAGATCTTGTCACAAGATGTGCATTGACATTCAGCGGCGGCAGATCTACACGCTGGGACGCTATCTGGATTCCTCCGTGAGGAACAGCAAGTCTCTGAAAAGCGACTTCTATCGCTACGACATTGACACAAACACGTGGATGTTACTGAGCGAAGACACGGCGGCGGATGGAGGTCCAAAGCTGGTGTTTGATCATCAGGTCAGCTACACTGATACTCTTAGTGCAAGTTCTTAACGTTTGCGAGTCAGTTTTGATCGTCCCCTCCTGCGATTTGGAAGTGCTGTACCAGGTAACGTAGCAGTGAGGAGGAAGGCTGTGATCTGCACTCAGTTAAATTCTAACCACGTCGTTGTCTGATGCCGCTGACTACCGATACTCTACTCAAACCGAGCCGCAAGAATCATAAAAACCTTTGCGAACGAACTCATTTTATTATTGAAGTTCAAACCACAGTTTCATCTGGTTTTAATCAGTCTGGTTGAGCTGGGTTTGCAGATCTGCCCGCTCAGAGGGTGTTGGGGAACAACTTGCGGAGCTGTGTGTGGTACCTTCGGAAGAATACTATCAGCAAGAGGCCAACAGGATCAGGGTTCTTTCAAAATGGGTTATCTTTTAACATTTGTAGAATGTGCTTGCTTTGTAGATTGAAACACCTTAGAGGAGTGGCCGCTAATCTTTCAAAAAGCCGCACCTGTCCCTGTGTTCAAACTGAATACTTTTTTTTTACTTTTGTTCTGTGTTTAATGGCTTTTGTGTACTCGAAAAAGGTATTTAGTTCTTAATTGATTTTTATAAAGCACGGCCAAGAAACAGCACATCAGTACTCGTTTTTAAAGCAGCCCAAGAACTGCTTTTATTGGTACTAGCTGTTTTGTAACCAAAGCTGTCGTTTGCCAGCACAATATGCGTTTCTGCTGACACCGAAAATTAAAGATACGTGTTGTCTGCAGAACAAAAGCCAATCAGTCTTTCTGTACTATTAATAACAAATACCAGTCTCCCAGGTGTTGGGGAAAAGGCACAAGGAAATTGTTCAGCTGGCAAGGCTACGCTGGGTACCTTCTTTGCCTGCTTCTGAAATTGTTTCTTTTTCCCCTGCTGTCTTTTCGGAAAGTATGTCCTCCCTGAATTCTTTATCAGTCTGCAGCTGCTTCTCTTCTCTCCCTCAGTACCTACTGCGATAGCGGTTTTTGTTTAACCTTCACAAAAATGTGCTGCACTAGAAGTGTTTTGTGTAGGCTTTGCTGAGTAGCATTTCTATCTTACTGTAATCTTGTCTGTTTTGTTATTTGGTTGGTTGGTCGGGGGTTTTTTTCCCCCCCTTCCCTCCTGGTGTTTTGTAACTCTCTGCATTTACTGTGTCTGAAAACATCACCTGGAGCCAGGGAGTTTTGTTTGATTTGTACTGCAGTGCATCTCTTGTGTGCCATAACCTGAATTCAGGTTTTGGGGATAAACATATTTCTGCTGCAGTCTCATCAAAAAATCCTTGGCCAGGTTATGGCCCATCTTTATGTTGAAGTAATGGGGGTAACAGCAAATGTGTGCTTGGGATGGAATCTCAGTAACAAACCGCAGGCTGACTTTTTTTTTTTTTTTTTTTTTTGGGATCAGTCCAGTGGTGGTCAGTAAATTAGCAGTGATTTTTATTTTTTTTATTATTTTTTTTTCCCCTTGCATAGCCATTGTCAAAAGTGGTATTCTATTAACTCTCTGGCAGAATTGGCTACGGATCGTGGTGAAAGACTGTAAAACGCTTTTCCCTGAAATCAGTAGCTAGAGGCGAGGTTCTTAGGTGATGGAGGGCACGTTTAGTCTTTTTTGCTTATTAAATGCTAAGTTGAGATTAGACTTGCCTTTTCAATTAATTAATTTTCTGAGGTTAGTACCCATCAGCCGTGAAGATATGTGTGTTCTTTTCTGTTTGTTAGGGATTCAGGAGATGTGCAGAGTACTGCCTAACTTACTAGATGCCACTTGCAGGGGAGGGCTGTTTAATCTTAAATCTTAGAGCATTCAAGTGTTAATGTGCTGGCTGAAAACGACTTCTCTCGTTTTTACAGATGTGTATGGATTCTGAAAAACACATGATCTACACCTTTGGAGGCAGAATTCTGACCTGCAATGGCAGCGTTGATGACAGCAGAGCCAGCGAGCCGCAGTTCAGTGGATTGTTTGCTTTCGACTGCCAGTGTCAGACATGGAAACTTTTGAGAGAGGATTCCTGTAATGCTGGACCTGAGGATATCCAGTCCCGAATAGGGCACTGTATGTTGTTCCATTCTGTAAGTATCCACACCATACTTGGATATACGATGCCTGACTTTAAGGGGAACATCTGATTTTGATTCTTCTTGTGAGTTTGAAGCTCTTTAATCTCCTAGGCACTGTGTTGTCTCTCTTGATTTTTATGTTCGCTGACGTTCTGATGCTGCTTTGGTAAGTGCAGGGAGGTATTAATTCAAGTCTTGGAGTTTTCATGACTTCAACTGAATAAGAGTTCAAGTAAAAAGCAAGGTGAATTTTAAGTAGTTTTTAATTGAATGATGGTAAATAGACTCAAAGGGTGTGGTTCAATTCGATCTAAAGAGTTTTTCTTTTGAAGTTGGTAGAGCAACTTAGAAGCTTCTGGACTAGTAGATACCCTGTGTAGTTACTGGAATGGTAAACTTGACTAGTGGAGGGGCTTACTGGGTGTGTACCGAGATGCACAGGCCTCATATTCCTTTGGGCAGAGCACCCGGCTGCTGCTTGTTGTCCTGAGCAGCTGTTAACAGCCGGGCACGGATGGTGTTACGGGCACTTCACCCAGAGCCTGATGGCAGAGCAGAGAGATGGAGGGGGCAGGGTGTGCATTAAAAAATAATATTTGGCATTAAAAACCACCTTCCATTACCTTTCCAGTTGTGCCTGTCGACTGCGTCTTTGCTGAAGTGCGGAACACGGGAGCGGCAGGGTGAGGGTGGTCGGTGTCCCAGATGTTCTGGACTAGCTTTGTGTGTAGGTTTCTCAGTGGAATAGCACAGTGCAGAGGGGATTAGTGTCAAGTAGAAATGCTGTGATGCAGCGACAGTTCTGCACTGGATTTAAATGGCAGCTTCTTAATGGTAGTACGTGGAGTTTGTAGAGTTTTGCTGACATTAAACTCTGAGTTGGGGGCAGGGAAAAAGAGAGTTAAAATTAATATTGTGGCATTCAAGCGTGTGCAGATACCACCAATGCAAAACTGACCGGTTTGAACAATTTACTGAGTTTGTTTCTCTTAAAACTTTCAAGTGAAAGGTCAGAATTTTTATAGTGAATACTGTGCACTCAGAGTTCTCAATTTTGTTTTTGTTTTGCATGGCGCTCTCAAATCTGTTGAAAAACATATTGCCACACAAAATTCTTCACAGGTACCTGAGGATTTTTCAAGTATTTGTTCGTGGTAAATGTAAGAATACAGGTTTCTGTAAGCACGGGTCATGGAAGTTTAGGTCTGTTGCTGTTTTCTCAACCATTTGAAAGAAAAATAATCTGCCTCTTAAGGACTTTCCACTTGGCAAACTTGAAAGAAGTAATAAACCCTGCTATTCTTGGCTTGCTGCTTGCCGTTTGCCTGTCCTGAGTTTACTAATGTGCTGGTACCTGGAAGATTTCTCTTACAGTCCGTCTATTGTTGCTTTTCTTTTTTTAAACAGTGAAGTTATGAGCTAAGGGGTTCTAGACAAGGAGACTGTTAATTCTTTAATATTAAACTTGAAAAATGAGTTGCTCTTTTAATGTTCCAAAGTTATAGCTTGCTTGGGCGGGGCTGCAGTATTTAACTATCTAAAAATCTGCCTAGTCACTCTGGAGCTGAAACTGTTGGTTTGTGGTCTTGTATAGATCATGGAGTCTTCAAAATTACATTTGTAAGAGGATTTTTGGGGGGAATCTGTGAGCCCTTAATGGTTTAGCTCTTGAAACTGAGAAATCATAAATTCCAGAATCAAGAAGATCGAGAGTTCTTAAGTTTTTATTGAGTTTGAGAATAATACACTGTTTGCATAATTGTTCCCTGTGAATCTTTGTGGAGATGACATTATGAGATACTTACACAAATTAAGACTGGCGAACCTGATAGTTGAGGCATGATTTTAAACTTAAAAGGAACGTACCTGTTACTCTTGGATTCATCAGTGTTTCTGTTAATGGTCACAGTTGGCCAACATACTTCCTTAAGCTTTGTAAAGACATACTTCTCTTCCATTCCAGAAAAATCGCTGCTTATATGTATTTGGTGGCCAGAGATCGAAGACTTACTTGAATGACTTCTTCAGTTATGATGTAGACAGCGATCACGTGGATATCATATCAGACGGCACTAAGAAAGATTCAGGGATGGGTAAGAGTACAACTACATATTAACTTCTTCCCATTGGTACAAATGAGAAAGATATTGTTAAGTAGGTGAGAGGCCAGATTCAGTGTCCTGTGGTATCAGGTTAGCATCCTTAACGAGCCCTACCTACCCAAGTAAACCCCACTGTATATAGGTTAAACTTATGCCAGCTCTTTTGTCTTTCCTGTCATTGGACACTCACCATCTTCAGTACGATACAAATAATTGATGTGTGAAACTACATAGCACCTCAAAAGAAAAAAAATTCAACGGAATAAGAATTAAAAATACTTCCTCTGAAGTATCTAGCAAAGACAAAAAGGCTGAAAAAAGAAACCCCAACCCTCTTTAAACCAGGAAAGGAGAAAGCAATTTTTTTTTTTATAGTTTTCATCAAGTGAAAGGTACCATAAAATAGAAATAATCTGCTTGGTTTGAGTTGCAGAAAGGCAGGTAGGATGCTCAGAAACAGAGGATTGGAATAGAAGGATAGAGGTTATTTTGCCTGACAGGAGCTGACTAGAAAGATGAGGGCTCTTGTGCTGTTACTCTTGTACTAAATTATCAGGGAGAGGCAAAAAAATGGTAGGAGGAGGGAGCAAGGCTTTGGTCCTGTTTGGTTCATGCCCCTGGAGCTGTATGCACCAGGCATAGTTCTGTGTACCAGAAACCTTTAAAAACACCCAGAAGGCATTGTAACGTAACCATAAAGGGCTGATCTTATACCTTTTCTCCTCAAATGACATAGAGAAGAATGTTCTTTTTTTTTTCCTGAAAAGGATTTCTGCATGTATAAGCACATAATTTTCGGGTTGCAAATACCCTGATTTTCAGCATACAGCTCAGAAGTTGAAATTTGTCTTGCACTGTGTACTACTATAGGACAGAAGTTATCAATGTTTTTCGTATTATGTATATTTAGTCCCAATCTTGTTTTCTTCCAGTTACCAAAATCCTGGGAAGCTGAGTTATCTTGAATTTAAGCTGCCCTCCTTATTTTGATCAGGCTTAATTTTTAGCAAGTCATTTTACTGAACTTTTGAAGTGATTTATTGATGGTTATGAATTACGGTTTGGTCATTAATTTAGTTATGCCAGTGAGGGAGAAGAGTACCCAAGCTCTTATTCTCTGGAGTCATTTATTTACTTGAGTGCTTCCAAGAAAGAACCAGCTTGTATTGTTGACAGTCTCCTTTATTAAGGTGCCTGCATGTTGCCTGATGCTGCTGTACGCACACCCACGCACCGTTTGTTGCCCTTAGAGCTTTTAAAGAATCGATTTTTTTTTTTTCCATGAACTTGCTGTCATTCTGCCGTTCTGCTTTTTTAAAACTACATTTCTTTATAACCAGAAGCTTTAAAACATGCGGCTTTAGGCTGACACCTGTATCTGTTTCAGATTTAAAGCCTGAGCTTGCCTTATGGCTGGAGAAGACACTGAGCTCTGCTCCTCAGCAAGTACATTAGCTGCAAAGTTCAGTTAAGCAAATGAGAGTATAATATTTAGCGCCCCCCCCCCCCATTCCCACAGTCCCTGAAGTGATGAACAGTAGACTTTGTAAGAAAGTGACTCATTGGAAATAATTCGTGAGCAGATTTTTCAGTTTACTGTTCTCCTGCGTGTAGAAAGTAAACAAACAGATTTGAACGTTTCCCTCGCTTTTGAAAGAAAATGCTAGGATTATTTGCATTTTAACAGGAAGAGAACAAAATGCTTGTTACATTCAGACAGCAGATGTTGACAGGACTATTTTCACCCAAAAAAGCAAGTCGTTATTGTGCTCTTGTTAGGTAGTGATATACCATTTTCATCTGCATGAACAAAGTGATTCCCTGACTGGTCGCTGTGAAGTTTTAAGCTGCTCGGTGTGATGAGTCGAATTGAGGATGCCTGACCTAAATGTTCCTATAAAGTCCCATGATTACATTTTGTTCCTGGCTCGCATGTGGCATTCAGTTCTATTCTTAGTTGAGCTATTTTGATTTTTACCCTTTCTAAAAGAACTTAATTGTGCATTTGTTTAAAATTTGTTAGAGTAGTGAGAAGACTTTAAAAAAAAAAAAAAAGTAGTAGAATCAGTAGTTGAGGATTATCAGTGATACGGAGTTCTTGCAATGCTAGAAAACAATGGTGATGATAGATTTTGCTGTCCTTAACTTCTGCATGAGATATTTGTACTGTTTGAGTTTCTTTGCTCTTAATTGTACCTTTGATGTTGATCCTGGAACCAGTTCCTTGTATAGGTGATGGGTTTGAGAATATTATTTAAGTGATTAAGTGTCACTTACACTGTCTTAATTTGGAGTAAAGGACGATAATTTGAGCAAGTTTAGATGTGCTTTTTTTTCATTCCAGAAAAGTTCGAACTTGATCAAGGTACAATTTCTAAAAGATAAGTTTGCACACAGCTTTGCCTACTAAAAATGTCTCCTGACTCAATCTGCTTCGAAACGTAGGTAAACCTTGTAGCTCTCTGCGTCTGGCAAACGCCATTTGAGCATGGGGGCTTTCTCCAGCTCGTTGCATCAAAAAAACCTGGTGCTTTCTCTTTGTTGTCAAAGGAGGGCACTACAGCGAAGGCAGGCCGTTAGGGATGGTTATCTTTCTGCTGCATGGTAACTGTGAGGAGCAAGACATTTGTTAGTTCAGCTAGAGAATGGACAAAACGGGACTGAGGAAAAAAGAATGTGACTGCGGTAAAGAGTCAGATGTGAAGAAGGGCAGTAGTGGTACAAATTGGAGGAAGTGGAGTGCAGTTGAGTAGAGCTTGTGGTTGGAGGAGAGGCAGAACACGTTGAGGACGTACCCTTTTAGAGCAGTTGTATACTTTTAATTACTTAACCCCCCCCCAACAATAACAACAACAAAAACCCCAAACCAACATGCCTGTGCCAGAGGGTGTCTCTGAAGCGTACACGTGGTCCAGAGATGCCACCAGTATCGGATGTCTTCAAAAGGCTACGCTGACAGCTTGCCTGGCTTGCTTAAGCACGCAATCCATGACTAATCACGGGCAGTCATTTCAGGTCTAAGGGAGCTAATAGGAACACTTGTGGTCAAGGTTCCTGTGATAATCCTTTTTGGCCCTGACTCGGGTGATGTGTCAGAGCCTGTTGGTCAGAGGGAGAATTTCCTTCTGCAAGAGAATCAAAATCATCTTAGATCCCTTGGCACTGAGTAACTTCTAAAGTCAAATGAGAACAAACCTTCAACTTTCTTGTAGCTCCCTTTAATGGTGAAGTAGTTCTTATGGGCAAACTGTAAATAAATATATATATATAAAAAAAAATTTTTTTTTAAGCTACCAGTGAGGATCCTGTGTCTCTGGCTGGGGCAGGTGCTGGTTCCAGATACGGATCTGTGCACCTGACAGACTGGAGGTTTCTTGGATAAGGACCACGGACAGAGGCGACACAGCCCAGTCCGGGAAACCCTGGTTTAAAACAAGACACAGTCAGGAGAACGTTCATCAAAATAGGCAGCACTGCTAGCTCAACGTGGCCAAGGTCCAACTCGGACAAGCAGTCTGAATATCCCATTTTGGTCTGAATATCCCATTTTGGTCGTCTCTTTGTGACGCCTGATGCCTATTGCCCTTGTTCAGTTTAAGGTCTACCTTGCCATGTGTGTCTCTTGCCATGGTAGCACTTTGTGTTGTGAGGGACCTTATGTGCTCTTCATCTTGTGAGATGCTTCTCTGAACCAATCTCAAAATACTGTCCTCTGACTGTGAAGGTGAGGAGGAGAGTGGGCAGTCACCAAATCGTAAGGATGCTTCAGAGAGATGGCAGAACAGCAGAATTCTATTCAGATTTACTAACTGACCCTTTTTTTCCTAAGTCTCATGTCGCTTGGGAGAGAACTGAGCGTTGGACGTTGGGTTGTGGCTTTTTCAACATGACAACCAAACTGTTCGTATGGTCTCCTTAGCTTAGTTCCCTGGCTGACTGCCAAATGCAGTCTCATCATGAAAAATCCAAGAGGATAATCATTATCTTGCTGTGTCAACAGCTGGCCTGTATACTATCTCTGTCACTCATCAAGGTTTGCCCTATTAAAGTTCAGGGGAGGTGCTGCTTCGGTTTTGCATGGATTACAAGTAGTGGTATGGAGTAATTTGCTGACCTGCTGCTTTTTTTTTCTAAATCAAGCTATCAGGGAGGTGCCAGGTTTTGGTGAACAGCAATATCCGTGTGATGTAGCTTTCTGCAATTTTTTTAATCAGGAGGCATCACAAGGAGGGAGGATCCTTGCAAGTCACTTGTAGTGGGATTAGCTGTAACGTGTTCTCAGGGTTTCGTAACGTAGGTGCCACTGAAAGGCTGTCAATGAACTCGCTTCCCCTAATGATCCTTCACGAATCCTTCAGAAGTGGTCTGTAGACTACAGGTTTTATATCGTTGTTTTGCCAATGCTGTGTTTCAAAGCGTGTTTAAGAACATGCTATATATAGTATCCTGTCAAATGTGAGAGGTTTAATTTCCAAACTTCTGTCTCTTAATGGGAGAACCACATCTGTGAACTCCCGATTTACTGCTTTGCAAACTCTGCCACTGTGTCAAAGCTGTTTTCTTGCTTGGATAGCGGCAGCAGCCAACATTGCACTTGAAACAACTGTAGCTGTTTGCACACATAAGCCGAGAAATAGTCAGCTTGCTGAAATGATCGCTGTGATCAAAAATAAAAATGCCCCTAAGTAGGGACTGTGGTAGCGGGAACGTATCTGTTTCATGATTAGTCATCGCTTTTGTAGAAAAGCTTTTCCCGTGTGTTACGTTGAAATGGAAATTACATTGCACAGGGTTACACAGCATTTTATGGAAGCTTTCTCAGGAATTACTACTTGTTTATGTAACTAGCTGCTGACTCAAGGCCTGTGTGGCTGAACGTTGTTTTCAAATATTGAGGCCATAGGCTTTCCATTTTTGCTGTATAAAAATAAATTAAAATGTTCAGCTCCGGAGAGAGGATTCAGACTTCTTATTTTTGATTAGTTACTGCCATTCTACGCTGGGCTGGTTAATGAGATTACAGGGGGAAAAAAATGCAGTGCCACAAGAAAAGCATTCACCATCTACTAGACTTTTTGGAATTGTATTGTGTTTAGTAATTTCTCTGTACAGCTTTTCCTCTTCAATCAGTAATGTATTGTCCTAGGAGCCAAGTTAATATCGCATAGCGACAGGCCCGGGCTGTGTTCAAAACAACCAGGGCTAAGTCCTCAGTTGCTGCTTTATGTCCTTCGAGCTGTCTGCCCACAGCTGACCCGAGCGATTGCCGGGCCTGGGAGGCGCTCTGAAAGGTGTGAAATCGGTGGAGATTTGCTCCAAAGCTGATTTACGTCTATGTTTCTGTGAAGCAGCAGGAGCGAGGCCACTTCCACGGAGCCATTCTTACCACTTTATGCACCCCTTGGATCTGGTACATTGCATATAGTTCTTACAGTGCCCTGGTATTACTGTGTTTGATTCTTATCCCTTGTTGTTTGTGACTTTTTACTCTTGAGTCTTAAAATTATTATATTTTTTTCTTTTAAATATCCTAAGCAATCAGTTACTGTCACAGGGTGGGTTGTGTCTCCCATGCAGAATTAAATTTCCTTCCCAACATACATTTCGTTAGCTAAACATCCCAAGTACTTCTCACAAGTTTACAGCCCGTGTCCCTCTCTAATATGCTGACCGTAATCATTTGAATTATATCCAGCATTGACTGCGAGCCGCTGCCCTTGCAGATTATGGAGCTCTCTTACCCCCTAGTGGAAGTGTTTGTCAGTCATGAGGATTCTGCGTAGGCCTTTTGCTCTGTTAAGGATCAGACTTCCTCCGTAAACATCTTTCGATGTTTCTGTTGTGTTTAAACTATCACAGCGCCTCCCTCTTACTGTGTGTTAGCTTGCCTTATTTTCTATTTATTTTTCAGGGACTTGTTTACCAAATTTGTGTTGTCTTGTAGGTTTTTTTTTTAATCATATTTCATCTAACTTTTAGTTTGATTTTTCCTCTGCAAAAGACTAGATGTCAACTTTGTCTAGCCGAAGGCACTACTTAAATATGGTTTCTACGCAGTTGCTTAGATAGGTCAAAGAGTTTATGTAAGTTGCTCCTCATCTTAGGCCCTTACAAACTGTAGGGATATATATATATTCTGACATTTCTTCTAGACATTCTGCATTTCAAACAGTCCCAAGAAGAGATTGGTTTACAACTGAGAGAAGCCTGAAATTACTTGACTTGAATTTGGTTTTGATTGCAATTGCTGCGGTTAAATCCTATTCTTACTATCAAGAGTGAAAAAAAACAGAGGCACGGAACTTTGGTGTCTTTTCCCTCCTTCATTATTTAAATAATAATTTCAGCTTCAGGAAATGGAGCATAGACTAGATACAAAATTGATTTATTTAACAACATTTCAGGAGGAGGGATGGGCCTTCCATAGACAAGTTTTGTACGCTTTCTGTATCGATGGTAATGTAGCACCGTATTCCTCATGATTATAATAATTTTCGTTTCAGTGAGCCAGAGGTATTAATGCTCTGAAGATTTGCATGCTTTTTTTCTCCTAAGAACCCAGCGTGGTCTTGAATGTTCAAAGCAGGAGACAGGGTTGCAAAGACATCTTCCATGTACATTAGAATTGCTGATCAAATTTAGATGGCTCTCCTGCCAGAAATATCTCAAATATGCCTTGAATTTAGTCCTTTTGGGTCAATGATTTAGTCCCTGACTATGCAAGCAAACATATTACATGATACTTCTCAAAATTAACGATATTTAGTCTATAATTGAGTTTTTGTTCTCAATTTTCCTTATTGAGAGACTTTCACAGTACTCATCAGTCTTATTTAAAAACTTCCTTGTGGTTTGCAGCTAAAACAAGATACATAGTTGTTGTGCCAGCATTGTTCCCTGCTTTTTTTCTCTGCTCTGCCACCCATTTGCTTATAATAAAACTGGATTAATTTTCCTTTGAAACTTCACAGCAAAATTGGAGGTCAAAATAGGCAGGCTTCGGCTGAAGAGGGCTCCAAAGGCTCTGCCTTCAGCTCTTCTGTAAAACCATAAGCAAGGATTTTGTCGCTAGGACTCTGAATTATCTGAATGTATTTTAGTTTCTACTGAAGTTTACATAAGTACTAAGGATTTTTATTTATTTTTTACAAAATGTTTGGGGGTTTTGGCAACTTTGCTGAACATTTTGGTAAGGGCTTAAACTGTAGAAAACCAAATGCTGCTCAGGATGTTTTAATTGATGTTTATTACTCTCCTGGCCTGCCAAATGAGAAGGGTGAACTACAGGACCGAAACCTATTACAAAATGAGCTTGCAAAATTCCGTTTTGTGTGTTCTTCAACACCAATATTAAGTGATTTATTAGCATAGGGCATGTTTTCTAGGCTGTGTGTGCAGTTCACAGTTAATTGCAGGGAAGAATTTGCAAAATACAAGAGTTCTGAGAATTTTTCGTGCCAAAATCTTGATCGAAGGCCAGGAACCTTTACCAGCCTTTGTAAAGTGACCCAGAAAGAGAAATGAGACAAACAGGATCTGTAAACAAGGGTCACGTGCCCTTCACAAATACATTTTGGAAGGATGGTTGCCTAGGGAAACAGGAAGTGGGGAATTATACAACAAACAAGAAGGACTGCCAAACAAATTTGCTGACCTTTTTTTCGGGGAATTATGATGAAAACTGCTGGAATCCTCAGTATTTCACCATACTTCTAAATCTGAAGGTGGAACAGAAGAACAGCGTGGTAATTACACCACAACTATTTAGAAAGTACAAAAAAACCTTCCTTGACATCTTTGTCCTAAAGGAAGCGACGCAAGGTTGTGAGCTATGTAATCTTGAGTTCATCCTGAAATTTTTTGTTTCCCAGCTTTGGCAATTTAGCTTTCTGGAATCAGTGCTTCCTTTTATGGGTAAGATAATAACAAAATCGCTCTGCTCATATCTCTTCATCTAGCTCTATCTTGAGACAATTTAATCCTTGTTTCTGAGCTGGTTGTCTCCCAGATAGCTCTGTCCATACCTCTCCCAAGGAAACAGCAGCTCTCAGAATGGTTTTTGTGCTTTCACAAGTCATAAATAGGAAGGGAAGAACAGAATTTGCGTTGTACTTGTCCTTAGCAGGAAGGAATTCAGCCTCTCGATGAATTCCTCTGGATGATGTTTTGTCCTCTCCTCCCTCTCACCCTGCTTTGGAGGGCACGTACAAGAAGCAAATTGTTTGCTTGGTGACTTCTGCACGCCTCCTATTTTGAGATGTGCCATTTCAGTTTTCAGTTGTGGTAAATAACAACGTCGCTGTGGAGGAGAAGTCGTAGAAAATACCAGCTTGGGTTCGCTCAGTCCATTTGGCTTGGTTTTAGATCAAAGATGAAGAGGTGAAGGTAATTAAAAAGAAGAAAACAGGGAAACTAGGTGGGAAGGTATTAAACATAGGTAGATGCACTTTATGCTAGAATACTGAAGGGGTAGTTACGTGAAATCTCATGCTTGTACCGTGGATATTAGAAAATCTGCTGAATTACAGGGAGAGGGAAATGCATTTGTCTGAAGCGTTGATCCCTTCCTGTATCCTCTGTTGTTTTCAACGTGTAACTTCTTTTTTTATCTTCTTTTTTTTTTTGTCAGTTCCAATGACAGGTTTCACTCAAAGGGCTACCATTGATCCAGAACTGAATGAAATCCATGTCTTGTCAGGGCTCAGTAAAGACAAGGAGAAGCGGGAAGAGAATGTAAGGAATTCCTTCTGGATTTATGACATTGTGAGGAACAGCTGGTAAGTTGATGCTATTTCTGTCATCTACACTGACTTTCATTAGGAAGCAATCCTACATGAGCTTGTCTCCCAGGTAACTCTCTAACCTCGTATAACCGTGGAGTGGTAATGTTGAAGACAACCGAGTTCCCCTGAGGCACCGCGTTTTTCCCGTAGTCTTTAGACACACCGTGGCAATAAGCCAAACGAGGGAGAGGAATCCTGTGAGGTTCTTCCCTGGAGGCTGGTGGAGGGGATGAGGGGAAGTAAGCGATTATAAGAAGTTTTTCCTGTAGGAAATGTTCAAGGCCAGAATTCATCATCAGTGCAGCAAATTTAGTCAAATGTAAGCTGTTAATAGCAGCGTACATGATACTGGTTATTAGAAACCAAGGCAACTGGTCTGATGTATGAATGGTGATGGAGAAGTCTTCATGCTAGATCTATCAGCTCTTTCCAGATTGCATGCAGTGGTACTTCGGTTAACCGCTAGATCCAGTATTCTGAGAAAATAACTCCTCATCTCTTTGCTGTACTGTATTTGGTAGCTGGTTGCTGCTGTCCCTTTCCAAAGCTGGCAGCAGCTTTGTATTCAAGGTCTCTTCTAATGTGGGGCCAATCACTTTGAAAGGTGTAAATGTTGCTTTTTGAAAACGGATTTTCAGTTACAACTGAAGTCTGCTTGGAACTCAGTGAATGAAATACTAGCTTTGCTATAGTCTGTGGCCGATAGCTCTGCTTTGTCCGAGGTGGTATTCTCTGTAATGAAAAATGCTTCATGCTGACAATTCTGCTAGCAAATAATGCAACATCCAAAGATATCTCCAAAGCTCGTGACATCAAATTTTCTAGAAGTTTTTCGTGTTTGGCTTGTGATCAAGGACTGTGTTCAGCCAAGATGACCTTCTCTGATTGTTGGATGGGTTTCTTTGTAGAGCTAACAATAGGGATGGGATAATTAGAGGACAATAGATAGAGAAGCAAGAAAATCTTTGGTGTTATATGTCAAGCGGTTCAAATTGACATCATGTGAACCGTAGAGCCTTTCAGTAACTTTTTCTGCTTCCTGTAGGTACCACTAATCATTACTTTCTGCCTTGTATTTCAGGTCTTGTGTCTATAAGAACGACCAAGCAGCAAAAGAGAATCCAGGTAAAAGCCTTCAAGAAGAGGAGCCCTGCCCAAGATTTGCCCATCAACTGGTGTACGATGAGTTGCACAAGGTATGAGGGTCCAGATAGATAAATATGCGGTGATTTATTTTTTTTTTTTTTAGTCTTACTGCTCTTAAGGTGTAGCTGCTTCTTCAAAGGTGGTCCAATGAATATAGCTTTCTGTATAGTGTTAATGTGGTGGGAAACTTTCATTTAACTTACTGTCATCTTTTGAAGTAAGCTATTAAGCTACCCTTTATGTCAACATGAAGTAGGCACGATAGCTGCTGGATTAAATCAGGATGCAGACAATGGGATGCCCTAAGCCTCTACAAAGTTGTCAAGCAGCTAGCTCCTAGCTCTCCTCACGCCTGAGGACACCTGAAGCTTCGTTCACTATCCTCAGGGACTTAATCTCACAGCCTGTTAGTGACTAAATGGTCACAGAGAGTTACCAACATTTCTAGGAGAAGGTGTGTTTGAATGAACTAATCACTGTTAAGAATCTGCTCTAACGGAGGTGCCTTTATTTGCCCTGCATGTCAGAAGCAGCTCTTGTTCTTTAGCACCATTCAACTTTAATGGACGTGTTCATGCTTAAATGGACTTAAAATTGTTTATAGTGTATGTGACTTCTCAGTAAACTTAGGGCTTTGTGCATATTAACTGATAAGGCACAAAACCATGGATTAGGTTACCGTAACTTCCTTAACCTGTGAACTTAAATTACTGTGACACACTTATTTAACCTTTCATGGATATTTTGCGATTAAAATAGACTTTTTCTAAAATTTCTTTTTAGTCTGAGACAGTCTGAACTGAAAAAGGAAAATATACTTCAGTCTTATCGTTCCATGGGATGTTAATCAAGTTTGGGAAACTCAACTAGCCCAGAAGTTTGGGGATAAGAGGGATTTTAAGGAGAAATAGAAGCAGCTTCTGGATGGAGAACTTGTATTGTTTGTTGTCTTCACAGACTTCAAGGATAGACTGTAAATACGGTTCTGCCTTTAATGGCTTATTTCTAAATGTAAGGTACCATGAGATTGAGAGTAGTATTTTATAAGTGACTGTGAAGGTTGCTAAATCACGGCGGTTGCCCAGCTTTATCTGAAGAGCTATTTGATGTGCTTGTTTTGAAGAGTCTTATTTTTAGAAACCTCTGTTCAAATGACCTTTCTAAACTCCTCTGATATAAATAAGGAGAGCCTACATCAGTGGGATGCAGAATACATTGTTTTGAGTGATTATTTTTAAAGCTGTGGAGAAAGGTGGCCTGTTGGACTTCTTGAACCTCAGTATTTGAAAACCCTTTGTGGCATGTTTAATATCAACAGTTTGGAGTCTGAAATACCAAATGATGTGAGGGGAAAAAAAAAAGTGAAGAAATAAACAGTCCTTTTTTTAACTTTCACTTTTCTTGAGATTTGCGCCTTTCCCTAAGTCTAGCCTTGCATTTCAAAGGTGTTGTATCCTCAAACTATCAGAATGGCTGTTAGATGACTTCATTTGAGCAAACATGAACAAAAAGTTAATTTTGCCTACAAATATATATATATTTCTGTGATTGGTGCCTCAGGATTGCTAGAACCTTTTTTGAAGACAATCCCAGTAATAGTTGTGACTTTTCCAGATAAGATTGGTGTTTTCTTCCCGAGTTGTTCTTAACATTACAATTGTGGCTTTTTGTTTTACTCTCTATTGAGTTAGCTCTTCCTTTGTGCCCAGGCAGCGTATCTTTCTCTGCAAGTCAAGTTTAGGCTCTGTAAAGTTTATGGGACACGTGGGGACACAGACCTGTTGGTCATCTCCCAAGGTTATGCTGGACTGGGCTTGTTGTCACTTTACTTTGAGCATCTTTAGGACTTCCCACTCACTTTGCCAGTGGCGCTTGTCTTTGGGGAAGATCATAGGTCTTTGCTGACTCAGGAGAAGGCTGCTTGGCTGAACTGTGGTGCTTTGGTACTGCAGCTTCACCAACAGTGCTCTGACTGGAGGCAGAGCGTTAGTCTACAAAGTCTCTTTTTTCTGAGTCTTCCTAACAAGCAGAAATGTTTCTTCTTCAAAGAAAATGGGTGATTGCTGCAGTCCTCTCCAAATTATATGGGTGTAATCTGCTCATCCCCAAATTAGAGAAAGGCTTAATACAGGTTTCTTAATTTAGCCTCTGTCATGACAACCATTATTTAGAGTCTTTGAGGACAGGATTAGAGGAGAGGTTGGTAATCCGTCAGTTTGAGTATTGTTTGCATCAAGTATTTTGAACAGGGCAAAACCAGTTGGCTCAGATCCTTCTGTTCTGCTCATGTCTTACGTGCCTAAGGATTTCTCACGCTCATAGGTTTTTCCTAAAGAAAGAGATCGCATAGTTTGTGGATGTTTGTAAATATATCAGGAATCTGCTAGAGGGAGGTTCTAACAGTGCAGCTTTTTAAATTATCTTAACATGTAAGCTGTTCAAGAGAACTTTCTTTATCTCGTAGGGGCCAAAGTAAGGCTAATAATAAGTTGGAGCAGCTTGTCTAAAGGCAGCGTTTTCTCCCTCCAGAATAAACTTCTCTAAAGATGCTGACATAGTAAATAGTCCTTGTTTAACAGACGTACGCAAACAATCAACTTTTTGATCTGCCTCTCGTTCGTTTAGGTTCATTACTTATTTGGAGGGAATCCTGGTAAGTCCTGCTCTCCGAAGATGAGATTAGATGATTTCTGGTCTCTGAAGCTTTGTCGACCTTCAAAGGAATATCTGCTAAGACACTGCAAATACCTCATAAGAAAGCACAGGTACAGAAATGAAAGGTGTTTTTGCAATTTCCTTTTTCCAGAGTGTCTTTTTTTGAGTTGCTAAAACTTGAATATCTTGTAAAACGTTTTGAGAAGTGTCACTTCGTTGGTTGTATGAGGGTCTGCAGGTTTCTTGATTATTTTTTTTCTTATTTTTAAAAAATAATTTTAATAAAAAGCCACGGGGCAGGGCCAAACTACAAAATTAACTTCATTCTGATTTTACTACGTTGTTCTAAAACCAGAAAAATCTGGCTATTGTGTGGGGAGTCATGGGGAATTTTTAGATTCCCTTTTCACTCTGCTGCTCATCAACATGTGTTTTGGTACTGTCACCTCCCAAGGAAATGGAGTATGTTTCTGAAACACTGTGTTGGGAGATAGTGACAGCTCGCAAGGATGCTAATGAATCCTGAAGTCTGGGGGCTGGATGCCTTTGCACATCTGAGACTCAACCGTGGTGAGGTCATCAGAGTTTCTCGTTCAGAATCACTTGAAAGATCTCACTTATGCAGAATGCAGCTACACTGGAGTGCTTCTTGCACTCTGGATGTTTCAGAGCTGCCTTATATTTGCTATTTAGGGCAACAGCTTTTCAAAATCAAGCTTATGGTGTTGCCTTAGGCAAGAAATTGCAGCAGTAAGACAACCTTTCAAAACCCAGCAAATTACTTGAAGCCAATAAATAGCTCTTTCTGCATTCTTGGTGAGAATACTTTGTTATCAGGTTCTGCCAAGAGCTGGAGGTCGATTTTTACGGGCGGTATTTCACTTCTGAGGCAGCAGGCAAATTGCTGCCCTCGACTCGCAATCGCTGGCTGGATGAGGCGTTTGGCAGATTAGCCACGCAGTAGATGTGAATACCTACGAGAAGGACTCAAGGTCTTGCCCAGTAAACTGGGAGGCTTATTAAACCCATGTGTGGTTGTATGCAAATGCAGCTGTACAGCCTCCAGAGACAGCTCTGGGTTACTTGTTTTTACTTGCTTAAATTGCACTCAGAGGAAATGTTGCTGCGTATCATCTGGCAGAAGCTTGGGGTTGATGCACTATGCTCCCATTTTATTGGTGTCCATATGAGGGAGCCCAACAGGACCAGCCAGGGACTGGTATGATGGGTACTTTGCTGGAGTTCATGCGCCTCTTGGGGTTGGAGCTGAACTGCTGTGGAGTCGCTTGGCTGCTCGTTGTCTGCACTCCCTCAAGCTCTGGGTGGCAGGACGGGTGCTTGGCTTGCATACACAACAAATCCGCTGCGTCAGCCGGAGTTCTGTGTGGCCTCTTAACTGGTTTAGTACCAGTCAGCCGTAGCGAAGCCAAGCTGGCCGGGTGTAGAAGAGTAAGGTGTCAATGGTTCTACTTATTTGAGGTGTTTCAGCGCTCTGGACCATAGCGACATCATCTTAGAAAACCTCTGTGAACGTTTGGAAGAAATCATGCTTAATTACCGAAGTGTCAGGCACCTCGGGTAACGGACAGTCCTTGTGCTCCCTGCACTGCCTAGATGACTTGCATCTTTAGCCAGTTTCAAAATTTGGGCTACAGGTGTTCACTGCAGTGTAGATAGATAGCCAAGTAGATGACCCAACTAAAAAAAAATAAGATGAAGTCTATTCCATGTGACTTCTTTCAGTTTGACAAGTTGTACCCTGTTAAAGGTAACTGAAATATATTATGAAAAACTTTGCCATCCTGTAAGGCAGTTGATACAAGGCAGTGAAGTAACTGAGAATGTGGTTTTTAGGGTCCTCATCTCTGGAATCCGGAGTTGTCCAAGCTGTTTTCCTGGGAAGGCTTAATGCTGTGTATCAGTGATTTGGGAGGTGACAGAGTGCGATACTGCACTTTGCGGATAGGAGAAGACGACAGATCTTTTAAACCTCATCCTTTCTAGGCTTATGCACCCAACTCAGTGCTACAGGGAAGTAGCTCTGCTCACTAAGGATGCTAAGCCCAGAATAATTTTCTGAGGGCTGTATTAACTTCTTCACAGAAGTTACAGTTTCTGTTTGTTAAAAGAAAATGAAAAAAATCATGGTGGTGCTGCACAAGATTTTTACATACATGTGATCTTATCCAAAGGCAGGTTATTAAGGCACAGTATTCTTTGGGTCCAGGGTTTTTCCCCCCCATCGTCCCTTTTTCTGTTGCCTGGCAGAAGCAGGGAGTGTTCTCCATCCCTGTACTTTCAGTTACGCTTCTGCAGAGTCAGGAATGTAAATATCCCTGGGCCTGGAGTGCTCAAGGCTTGCCTGCATCTGAACTGTGTTCCTCACCTGAGGTGCTACTCGTACCTTGCTCTATTTGTGGAAAACAAACTGTATACTAAATGTTTTATAGCTATGTATTAAGAAGTTGTTGTACATATGCTTTTGAATATTTTTAGTAAGAGTGTAATACTTTGCCCTTGTAACTCCCTTACACCCCCAAGAAACCCTCCTCTGTGTTTCAGTCTGGGTTGAAAGCGTGTACTCCAGCAAATATGAGGCTGAGCTGCCATTAACGTTGTTTTCTTTGGAAATACTGCGCTGAACGTTTTGCTAGACAGGTTTTGCTCTTTGTAGAAATAGTAGTACTTAGTCCTGAAGGAAATGGCTGTGCTGAAGTTTTCTGTCGCTGCTTCGCAGGTTTGAAGAAAAAGCTCAGACTGACCCTCTTAGTGCACTGAAGTACCTGCAGAATGACTTGTATGTAACTGTGGATCACTCAGACCCCGAGGAGACAAAAGAGGTAATGATGAATGATCTTCGTCTTAAATATAAACTGTGTTTTCAAGTGAAAATTTTGAGCCTCTTAAACCTGGGTTTTACTCAGTTTCAAAAAGTTCTACAGGTGCATGACTTTTTGCTGTATCCTTTATTTCTCCATGCTAAAGACCATACTGCTTTAGAAACAGTAATTTTACAACTGCAGTTCCACATAAAATAGCTTTTGTACTCGTGATAGTGAAGACTAGGCCTTTGTTTTAATTCCAACATACTGCTGTGTATTTTGGGAGCTTTGAGACGTAAACTCTCTGAAATGTCGCGAGTCTGTAGTTGGTTGTGCGGTGGAAAGTGAATAGAAACTCTTATTCGTGCTGCCTTTTGGCTTGTTGATATGAAATAATTCTTGGGGAAGGAAAGAGGTTTTTCTCTAGATGTAAAATATTTCTGGAAGTAGATTATGTGTGTGTATATATATATACACACATTGCTTGCTAACGTTAAAATCTTATTTCCTCTGCTGTTTGAATATCATCCAGTAGGCATGTTCTTTTATTTATTCCAGGAATTTGTTCCAATTTCCTGTTTTGATTCCATTACCGCCATACTTGTTGCTTTACAAAAAAGGATTAAAGAAATAGTGAGAAGTGTCAGATAAGATGGTTGATTTGACTCTGCCATTAATTTCCACGTCGAACTTGGGGCAGCCAGCTAGATGTACAAGCATTCAGCTCCTGACGGGTAGATGAGGAAGAGGAGACCATGGTTCTTGCTCTCTTGTTGCATTAATGACTTTGGAAGTGATTCAACAGATCCTTTTACAAAATTGTGATAGGAGAATGGGTGCTGTTACTCAGTGCTGAGTCTTTGGATTAAATAATTTGAGCTGGTGGTTTTAACGTGTTCCTTTAGGTAAAGAAAAGATCGTGATACAGACACTAAAAGCTTTTGGAGGAGAACACGCTTCTTGCATATGCACAGTATAGACTTGTAGGGTCTATACAAGAATTAAGAAAAGAATATTTGCTCATATCAGGATCTTGGAACTGATTGCATTTGTCATAAATTGTGGTTGGCCTTTATAAACATCTGATCCAACAGAAAACATTGAAATACTGTGCCTGTAAGTTCCCTTTTACATGCTTTCTTATTTAAATTGTCCCATACCAAGTGGTTTCACATCCTTTCTAGCCATTTCTAGCATAGGAAAGATGAATAACAGATAATCCTGCTTTTCTTCTGGTGGAAAAGGAGATAATTTTTTTTCCCCATGCAACACGCTTCAGGGGGTCTCAGCCCAATTATGCCCCGTCTTCCCAGTGTGGTAGCACTTTCCTCTTCCTATTTGAACCTGTAATAACCTGTAACATACAACAACCATTCTGATGCTGTCTTCTTCCCTTCTCCTTCCCACCCACTATAAGACCATGTCCTGTGTTCTCTGATCTCCCTTTTCTCCCCGTGTCGTACTTGTGTGCTGGTAGCCCCATCATGCCTGTGAAGGCCATGTCTCTTTGGCCAGTTACTGCTAAAGAGCTGTTACAGCTCGTGGCCAGCTGTGCCTTTTTGCTGCCTGTGGTGTGATCCGCAAGCTCCTCTCCTCATTGTTCATGTTGTCTGCTGTCACCAGCAGACCAAAGGAACTGCCTTCAGGTTGTGGGAGGTGATTCTTCTGCTCTACTCTGCTCTGGTGAGACCCCACCTGCAGTGCTGCGTCCAGCTCTGGGGTCCCCAGCACAGGAATGACATGGACCTGCTCAAGCAGGTCCAGAGGAGGCCACGAAGATGCTCAGGGGGCTGGAGCAGCTCCCCAGTGAGGACAGGCTGGGAGAGGTGGGGGTGTTCAGCCTGGAGAGGAGAAGGCTCCAGGGAGACCTTAGAGCTACAGGAAAGGTGGGGAAGGACTCTTGATGAGGGAGTGCAGTGATAGGACGAGGGGTAACGGTTTTGAACTGAAAGTAGCAGAGATTCAGACTAGGTATAAGGAAGAAATGTTTTATGCTGAGGGTGGTGAGACACTGGCACAGGCTGCCCAGAGAGGTGGGAGATGCCCCGTCCCTGGAAGTAATAAATACAGGATTTCTACAAATATGATTATGCAAATAAGCAAACAATATTTGTGTTGAGTGGTCCCTGCCCAGGGCAGGGGGGTTGGAACTGGATGGTCTTTAAGGTCCCTTCCAACCCAAACCATCCTGTGGTTCTGTGATCAAGGCTGCACATTGTGCACATCTGGCAAAATATTCTACATTTGATTTTCCCAGTTCAGTGTGTAGTATTTAAATTGTCCACCTCGTACGAATGAAGAAATTACCTGACCGCATGGGCTCGTCTGAGATTTTGGGGAAAAGTAGTAGCTTTGTCATACAAAGTATAGAAATAGAATAAAATGTTTTTTTTAAAAAAAAATGATAATTATTCGTTTTCACAGTGCATGCCAGTGTTCTGCACGTTAATGATCTAGTGTATGAGCTTAGGTAGCTCAATCCAGCTGAGTGAATATATTGTGAATCTTTTCTCTGCAGGCCTAACGCCTGATCCAAAAAAAATTCAATAGCTTCTGTCTGTCGTGCTGGTCCATCGGATCAGCGCATGCCATTCAGCAGAATTAAAGCTTGCGTTACAGTGGTTTCCTAAAATCATCTAACAATTTCTGGGAGGATTTTTTGTTTGAATTTTGGGGTTTAGTTGGGGTTTGGTTGGTTGGTTTTGTTGTTTGTTGTTGTTTCGTTTGTTTGTTTTTTTTTTTTTAAATTATGCTGGTCAAAAAGCTTTAACTTCCAAAGCTTTTTACACTGGAACAGATCTGCTGGGTATATGGCATAAAGCCAGCTGCTGCACTGGTACTGACTGGTTGTATTACCAGTTGACGTCAATTTACCTTCCGGTTATCACGTTGAGTTGGCTTTTTGCTCTGGCATTACATCTTCAAATAGCTCTTGTGCTTTCCAGAGGACTGACGCAGGCTTTTTGAATTCCATATCTGATTTCAAGCACCAGTTTGATTGTGTATGTCAGCCCAGACACCTCCATACTCCATCTTTATTTGTAGTTGAGCTCGTCTTAATTAATATCAAAGGCTGTATATCTGATGGGCTTGCTCTGCGCTGGCTACGGCCATTGAATGTTGTAAGCCGCCTTAGTGTGGCAAATCTTAAGGGAATCTGTTTCTGCCTGTTCTTTTCCCTCTGTCAGGGAACTGTTAAATTTGGGAAGGACCAAACTGAATAGTTTTATCCCCAACTTTGTACTACAGTTCTTTTAGAGACTGGTCTGTAAGTTCATGTTTTATGGATTGAGATATGGGTGGTGTTATATGATATTACAAGCAGAATTTCACTTTGAGGTAAGGCTTACTTGCTTTATAATAGAAATAAGTTCTTCTAACTTAGTTAGGCAAGTCTCTTCAGCTGTTTTGAGTTGGATGCCAAAGAAAATAAACAGACTGTTCTTGAAACTTACTTTGGCGTTAGTAACCAATTTTGTTTAAAGTAGCATGAATGATTGATAGTAGGAACATAGCCCCAGATTTTCAGTCCTTCGTTGTGAATTTTAGGGATGGTAATAGGATTATAGTTTTATTTCCTTTTTTTATTATTCTAAAGTGAAGTAGATGCCTGCAAGTAACAGGTATTGCATGGGTGCTTTGTTTTAGTAGCCACAGGCTATATGCCAGCTCCATCTTTGCTGTTGCCCACAAATGCAGATACAGTTCTCTTCAACTGTGATGCTGCTTGAAATTGCTTAAACCTCTTCAGTTAGTTCAGGGTTTTTCGATCAGTGAATTTTTTAATTATTTTTTTTTACTGGCTGTGGATTAATAGCTCTGGCACTGTATGTAAAGGAGGGTAGGTCCCCAGAACACACCAAAGTATGTGTATTCTAGTTTATGGAGAGATTAAAATTGTATAATAGATTGACATTTGTTGGTGTAAAAAAAAAAATTGTGGTGGCATGGATGTTCTTGTATTTCATATACACACAGATGTGCATTTGGTGGTAGTTTACAGCTAGAGGCTTTTAAAGGTAAAAGGATGGTCAAAATAGAAAATAAAAATTAATTCCAAGTGTTGTACTTGTGTCAAGGTAAAAACAGGTGCTATTCGAGCACAAAACCATCAGTAGACACATACAAGGCTAAAGGTGTTGTTCCTTGACCACTGGAGTAATCATACCCAGAACTTTGCTACTGCTCAGTGGGCTACAGAAGAAACCAAGACGATACAAATAATGGCTCTGCTGTCCAAGTAGAGTAAGATGATTTTCATAGAATGTTTTGGATGGGAAGGGACCTTAATGATCATCTAGTTCCAACCCCCCTGCCGTGGGCAGGGACACCTTCCACCAGACCAGGTTGCTCCCAGCCCCATCCAACCTGGCCTTGAGCACTGCCAGGGAGGGGGCAGCCACAGCTTCTCTGGGCAACCTGTGCCAGGGTCTCACCACTCTCACAGAGAAGAATTTCTTTCTTAAATGTAATCTAAATCTACCTTCTTTGAGTTTAAAGCAGTTATCCCTTGTCCTATGACTACATGCCCTTGTAAATGTCCCTCTCCAGCTTTCCTGTGGGCCCCCTTTAAGTACTGGAAGGCTGCTCTAAGGTCTCCCCAGAGCCTTCTCCAGGCTGAACAACCCCAACTCTCTCAGCCTGTCTTCATAGGAGAGATGCTCCAGCCCCTCTGACCATCTTCATGGCCTCCTCTGGACTTGCTCTAACAGGTTCATGTCCATGGGGGCCCCAGAGCTGGATGAAGTACTCCAGGTGGGGTCTCACCAGAGCAGAGGGGTAGTAGAATTGCCTTCCTCGACCTTCTCTTGATGCAGCGCAGGATATGGTTGGCTTTCTGGGCTGCCAGCACACATTGCTGGGTCATGTGGAACTTCTCATCAGTGAACACCCTCAAGTCCTTCTCAGGGCTGCTCTCAATCTGTTCTTCGCCCAGCCTGTGTTTGTGCTTGGGATTGCCCTGATCCATGTGCAGGACCTTGCACTTGGCCTTGTTGAACTTCATGAGGTTTGCACGG